AAGACACTCTTGGTTCCTCTGATGAAGCACTTATCACTGGTTAGACACATACACACCCCTTTACAAATGCCTGCCTCCGTTTCAGCAGGGATGCTAACGACATACACTTCTATCCAGGTTTTCGTTTGGCATCATAGATCCTTCCCCAAGAAGTTAGCATTCACATAGCAGGTAGCTAAGCTCCAGGTACTGAGGATGGCAGCAAGGCCAAGTTTAGCATTTTTCACGCAATGAATGCATTGTTGCCATCAGATAACTCATAAACACCTTTTCTTTGAAAGTGAGTTCCTGCATTGTTCCTCAAATTTTAATAGTTGATAAAATTTAATTATTGGTTGATTCTTGGTCCCCTGCCAGAAGATTTTTATCAGCAGTTCTTTGAAATTCTATTACCTTATGATTATTATCCAAGAAACTTAAGAAAACAAGAGAATGAGCACTGGACTAGGAATCAGACATCACGTGTTTTAGTGTCGAACTTGACTCACGGGGTGAATGATTATCAGTAAGTTAGCCATGACTGGCTTTCCTTTCACTCTTTCAAACATCTGAGAGCCTCTATGTTCTGAGCACTATTCTTAAAATTTACGATATACTGGAAAGCAAGAAACAAAAGTCCCTGCCCCTTAGAGCACAGATCCTGGTTCTCTCTCTACCTGCATCACTTTGGGTCATGACCTCTTACCTCCCATGTATGCAGAATCAGAATTTGAGAGTGAAATATTTTTGCAGATGGTTTAGACCCTCTGAAGCCCTAAATAAGGTAGGCCTAAACTGAAATGCGCTCTAAATGTACACATCCTGGACTTCAAGAATTCGGTGTGAAAGAAATGTAAACAATCTCTTTTAGACTTTTTTGTATAATAACATATGAAATGATATTCAATGACAGATTAAATAGGCTTATTATTATTATTATTATTTTGAGACGGAGCCTCAAGCTATCCCCCTGGGTAGAGTGCCATGGCATCACGCTCACAGCAACCTCCAACTCCTGGGCTCAAGCGAGTCTCCTGCCTCAGCCTCCCAAGTAGCTGGGACTACAGGCGCCCGCCACAACGCCTGGCCATTTTTTTGGTTGCAGCCGTCAATGTTGTTTGGCGGGCCTGGGCTGGGAATTCGAACCCGCCACCTTAGGTGTATGTGGCTGGCGCCTTAGCCGCTTGAGCCACAGGCGCCGAGCCAGGCTTATTATTAAAATGAATTTCACCCATTTATTTTTATTCTAATGCGACGACTAGACAGTTATCTGTGCCTCTCCTATTTCCACTGGACAGCACTAGTCTAGTCTCTTATCCTGACTATAATGAAGAACGTGAAGCCAGAAAATGTAAAGGCAGGGCCAGAACTCAGATCTCCCCACCATGAAAGGTAGCCTGACAAGCAGAGAGAGGGTAAACACAGAGGTCACAAGGCCTGGACGCAGGAGATGACAGCAGCGTTGCTCCCCAGTTGAGCAAGCAAGTGGACACAGGTCAGATGCCAATTAGCATCCGCCCCATCTCTCCTGGATCAGCACACTCCCTCCTACAGTCACCACGCAGCTGTTCCCTGGGAAGGACAGAGCTGCCCATGACCACACAGCCAAAGGAGTCCTAATGTCCATCTCCAACCACGACAAGCAGAGGGCAGGAATCTACCATGTGTGTGTCTGAGAGGGGTAAAGGAAGACAGCCAGGCAAGAGAGAGGGTTACCTCGTCCCTCATTCTCAGCATTCATGTGTTCAAATAGTTGAGGATGTGTCCTGTGAGGCAAGGTAGGGCAGTTAGGAAGACTCTGCAAGGGAGGTCAAATATAGACAGGTAACAAGTCTTAAAAAGGAGAATCAGCTCCCAGAGGAACGAGCAGTTCCCGTGAGCTCAGATGGCAGGGTTCAGGTGCACAGGGGTGCAGCCCTGGCCAGAGGCAGGGGGGCATGCTTGGCAGGTCAGTGATGACAGAGGGAAGCAAAAAATAAAACAGAGAAAGAATCAGCAGAACCAGCATCTGAGTGAACATGGGGAGAGAAAGGCCAAGGCAGCCAGGCCAGGGAGGGTGGGAAGGATGGGCAGTGCCTAAGGGAGCCGGCCTGGAGCTTGGCCTGAGGAGCTTCAGCTGCCGCTCAATTAGTGCTGCTGCACCAAACCTATCCTCCTGAAGCCTAGGCTGGGAAGACCCAGAAACGACCCCGCCTGCCTTGACCCACCAGGCCAACACCCACTTAAAGTCCACCTCCCTCCATGCAAGGAATGGCTGTTGACAGCCATGTATTCAAATGACAGGACACCTTCTGGGTGCCAGGCTAGCTCTAGAAGCAGGTGCTAAGGAGTCAGCAATGAGTGGATTCCACCTTGCTGGGGCTCACATGCCAGCGGCTGAGACAACGGAGAGAAGATGCAGTATGCGGTTCTGAAGCCAACCCAGCCCCTCTCCGTTCACAGCGCTTCCAGAGGCCTTTCGAATACCATTCCCTTGGCCTCCCCAGCACCTGGCACGAACTGCTGCCCAGGAAACACTTAACTACTTACTGACTCAATCACTGTTATCCAAGAAATAAACAACACTCTACGTAGTTGAGTGACCAAGACGCCAAGAAGTCAGTCTCAGGCTCTGAGACTAAAAAACACCCTCCACGCAGAGTTGCTTAACATCAGCAGTTATTTTGTTCATATTGGTTTTTTCCTGTTGTTCCAAGAAGTTCTCAATAGTTCTAGAACAAGCTACCCAGGCCAGCTGTACAAAATCTATTAATTCTAAACAATTCATAAGGCTTCCTTATATAGTTGGCTCAAACGAAGATGCTTCCTCCAAGCCATTTAAATTCTAAATCCAAGCATATAGTGCATGTAGTGAAAGGGTAAAAAAAATTGAGCCTGTATGTCTGGAAAACATCATGAGAGGTCAGCACTACTGATGTGCCCAAGTCGGTTTAAACACAGGAATGTTTCTTAAAACACAAAGCTGTCTGCTTCATCACACATGCCAGTTTATGCTGTGTGCTACAGTCAAAACAAGGTGGCAGAAAGCATTTTTCTATAATGCCTTGCTTACCTCAGTGGCAATAGAAAAAAGCAATGGACCTTATCTAACCAGAGTAATGTTTTATCCCAAGTAACCTCAGACTGCATTGCTCCCTCTTCGCTCCCAAACACACATGCACACAAAATAACAGATATAACCCCAAGTCAGATGTGAGACCAAGAAACACAAACACAACTTTAACATCAGTCATGAAACTCGTCTTAGGCTTCTACAACTTCCTTCCATTAAGCAAAAAAGGCTTAACATGACCATTCAGAACATGAACACACATATCAAAGATAAAAGATGAAGGCAAGCTACTACTTACTTATGCAGTAAAAAACAAAACAGAACACACACACAATTTTTAATGTCATTTTCTAACTTTATATCAAATGTGTTTGGTTAATGGTACTGTGAAAACAAGGGCACTACAGTCCACTTTTAAATTATCTTTATTGCCCTGCTGTTCTTGGACTTTCGAAAGCATGAGGAATTCTCTGTTTTCTGATGGGTACTGCAAGGTGTGGATTATCTGCCCTGGCCTTGAACACCGGGGGTGCGACATAAGTGTATTGGAAGAGAGGTAAACGGGAGAGGGCTGCTGGAATCTGGGATGAGATTCTGGTGACTACTTGTACTCACAGCAGAAATGAAGAAACTAAGTAGGAAAAACCACTGGTGCTCAACTAAGTCCCACTCATTCTGACAAACAGGCTAATAGCCAAATCCTTTCCTCCAGAGGATTTAATCTCTGGATACAAGGTAGGTATTGTGGGAGAAACTCAGCATGAAGAGCGCGGCTAATAATTCTAGGTACATTCACTAAAGTTATTTATGAAAATCCTTTGTTTTATTAACAACTTAGAGGCCTCTTGGCAGAGAAATTTAAAAAAAAAAACAACACAACTACCTGAACAATTCTATACAATATATAAAATGTTCTAAAGACTCCTTATTGAGACTAAAGCTATAAGTATACCTTCAGGGATGAGTTTTCAGTTAGCTGAAGTCAACTAAATTTGGCTCCAGAAATACTCAGTTTTCCATCTTCACAAACAAGATGCTTAAGGACAGAACCACGGTTGGCCCAGCTCAGACCACTTCCCAGAGAGCCAGGAGATATCTCAGCATTCTTTAGTCCCCAACCCACCCCCTTCTACTGTAGGGTCCAACCGGGCAGGTCTCCCTTGCCCAGTAACACCTCTGGGAGTTAAGGCAGGGTAGGTGCTGGGTATCCTCTCCTCCCTCCCCGCTGCCTAACTTGCTTCCTGGCCAAGGTACTCAGATTGAAAGGTTGGCGTAGCCAACAATGGCCACCCTCATCCCGCTGGAGGGCAGCTGGGCCAGCCAGGAGTCTACTTTAGGAGGATTTAATCATCTTAACTTTATTTCCTGGGCTGATTCAGTCTCCTAGCCCACTTACCAAGTATCCTGAAGAACAAGTTGTCACAATACGAACACAATACAGACCATATACACAAGCCTTTATAAAAAGCTTACATACTATATAAATGCACTTCAAGCACTTCGTTGCATGCATGTTATACCTCCATAAAAACCAGAAAACGTTAAAAAGGAAGCAGGTTCCTACTTAAGACAAGAAACTGGTCAGAGCCCTGCAGAAGCCCGGCTCGGGACAAAAGTGGGGAAGAAGGGGCTGAGATGATCCCTCCCGCCAACTCCAGCCCTAACAGTTTTTCTGAGGACTTGGGTTCTCCGGAGAAACTCTCCAGCATTTCTCAGTCTCTCCCCGCCCCCGCCCCTACTTCCAGGTAGCCGGTTCGGTTTGGTTTTCTCCGCCGGTGTTCCTGCGTTTAGCAGTGCAGGCTACCGACGCGTACTCTTCAGGTTCTTCCCTCTCTGACTCCCTCCCCTCCCACTGCGCTGCCTCCCGCCTCGCCACCAGAGCGAAAGGAGTCCCCAACTGCGACACCTCCCGGGGCAGAGGCGCCTCTCAGCCACCAGCGGCACCGCTATCTCAATCAACTGACTAGTCATGACTTTTAACCTACGCGGTAAGCAAGTTCCATTTCCAAAAGAGAAGGCACCAGGTTTCACAGACTCTGGATTCGCGAGAAGTTTCCGAGACGCGCAGCTCTCAAGTCACTCTCTTGGATCACTTTGCTGCTCGCGGTGTCCGCAGGGTAGTGAATCCATGAAAAGTTAAGGATCTCCGCCCTTCTCCTTAAAACCCAGGCCTAGGCAATGAGCCTAGGAAGCGCCCCTCCCCTCCCTGGCCAAATACCAGCCCCTGACCGCTGCGCCTCCAACTGCGCCTAGTGAAACCGCCGAATTCGAATTCTCACTCGGTCCGCAAGAGAAGGTGTGCGCGCCCGCGACCCGGAGAGGCTGCAAGCAAGGAAACGGTGTCTGGGGGTGCCGTCGGATCTGGGGAAGGAGCCCGAAGCACCCATCACACTCTTCGGACACCAGGCCTGCGGCAGGCCACCACGCAGTCCGCAGGACTCCGGGAGCAGGAACTCGCTGAAGTTTGCCAAGCCCGGGCCCGAGACTCCGGAAAGTTGCAGCTTCCCTTGGAGCGTTTCTTCTGGCTCTCAGAGGCGGGGTCGTCGCGGGAGCAGGAGGGTAAAGGAGCACGGGGTCCTGGCACCTGTCTGCACCTCCCCTCCGACCTTCTTTCCCCCGACCTGGTTCGGCAAAGACTTGAGCACCATTTGGCGGGGACAGACCCTCGGGGACAGAGCGCACGGCTCACTGGGGCCGCCGCCGCATCCTCGCTCCTTTAGAGTAAGGGATTGTGAACTCACCTGGTGGGTGGAACAGGAGGCGACAGACGCAGGTCCTAGGCGTGGGCAGCCCCCAGGAGGAGCGGCACGGTCACTACAGCCCCCAAGCAGCTGCACAGAGTGAGCCGTCCCGCCGCCGCCCCCTCCGTTCTTATATGGCAGGACCTAGCTCCCGCCCGCCGCCACCGCCCCCGTCCCCGCCCCAAAGCCTGCCCTCCCGGGGGAGCCAGGAGCGGGGCGGGGCGGAGCCAGTCCCCTCGGGATCTTTCCGCCCGGGCGCTGACGGCAGGGGGCGGGGCAAAAACTGCGCTCTGATTGGCTGTCGGGGTGAATGGTTGCCAGGAGACGAGTAAATCTTCAGCCGCGGGAAAGGGCGGGGGCGCAAAAGGAGCAAGCATTGCGCAAGCGCAATAGAGAAGGGCTGCGTAGACACCCCCTTAACTTTGGAGTTACTGGTACACATTTTCTTTATACTGTACTAGCTTTTCTGCCACTTCTATCGCGTTACTCCACCCCTCCAACCTTTCCTCATCTATAACGTGCTCCCTTGCAGGCCTCTTTTTCTTCTGCTTCTCTGGACATTTTCTTGCTGGTTCTCTCTTCAGGAGTATGGAGCGAAACGCCGGTGCCTACCTCCGTGTGGGTTTTTGAAGTCGGAATGAACTGTGGTTTCTGGACTTTGAGAACCTTTCTGATTCCCCAAGCAAATTAGCTGAAGGTGAAAGCGTGGTCTTTCGAATAAGAGCGCAGTTGGTTCTACGGCCCCAGGGACCACCTGTGTGCACTTAGTGGGACGACGGGCCTCCAGGAGCCTGTTGCCAGTGTTGGCAGCCACTACAGCTCAGCCCGGATCCGAATGCCGCGGGGCTTAGTCGATTCTGTTATATAACATGCAGGCGGGACTTGGACGCCGTCCATTCATTCCATGGCGAGTGGTTTACAGCCCAAGTTCCGAATTCAGGCTAACCTGAATTGAGATCACCATTCACCACTTAAACTGCAAGGCCCTGGGCCAATAACTTAACCAACTCTCCATAAACCCTAGGAGGTTATATAACTATTAAGGAAATACTGGAAAACTATTAGTGCAGCAGTACCTGTCATAAAGCGTGTGGCAAATGCTTTTTGTATCTTACAGGTAGCCGTTGTTATTTATGGACAAACATTTATTGAACTTGTAGTGATTCTCTACCAGGAGTTAGAGATCAAAGAGTACTTCCCAGATGTAGTATTAAGTGTGTTCTTAGTATCTACCGGGCTGTAAAAAGTTTTCAAATACTGTGTATGTCTTACCTGGTGAGGGGGAGTATTTTAATGCCTATGATAGGAGGTTCGCATGAGCACTTGTAGGGAAAGTCACTGTGACCCAATTTTTGGAAACAAAATCAGGACAAATAGTCACTTTTTTTTCCCGCTTTTTGCTTTTTGAAGTACAATATTCAGTAAAGTACACGAGTCTTAAATGTGCAAAATGATGAATTGTTATATATACACACAAAATGCAGTTGCCCCCCCCCAGCTCAAAAGACTACAGAATCTTTCCATCTTGTTTATCCCCCTTCCCTTTCTAGTTCCCACCAAGGTAACCTCTATTCTGACCACTATCACCAGGGACTGTTTGAGCTTTCACTGTGTTTCACTGTGTTTGAACTTGCTAAGGAGGAAATACAGAGTGTGTGCACCACTTTTGTGTCTGTCACTTAACAGCGTTTCTCTGAGATTCATCCATCTTGTTCTAACAGTGGTTCATTCTTTTTCCACTACTGTGTATTGCTCATTATATGATATTCAACAATTTCTGTGCTCATTCTACCGTTGGTGGACATTAGAGTTGCGTCAGGCTTTGGCCTTTCATGAGTGAACTGCTGCAAAATTCTCATACATGTCTTTTGGTGGATGTAGCATTCATTTATGTTGGGTATATACCCCAAATTAGAATTCCTGGATCATAGAGTGTACACATATGAAGGTTTAAATACACTGCCAGCTTTCCAAAGTGGTATAAAATTTATGTTCCAACCGATGATAGAACATTTCTAGTTGTTCCACAACTTTGCCAGTAATGGTATTACCAGTCTTTTTAATTTAAAAAAGAGTGTGACTTTCATTGTGACTTAAATGTGCATTTCTCTGGTAATCAGTGATGTTGAGCAACTTTTCAGATATGTGCTGTCCATTTGATACCCCTTTAATGAAGAGTCCATTCAAGTCTTTTGCCTGTTTGTGGGGAGTTGTCTGTGTTCTGTGAGAGTTCTTTCCATACTCTGGATATAGTCCTTTCTCCCATATAGGTATTACAAATATCTTCTCCCAATCTGTGGCTTACTTTTATTTGTTTTAATGTTATCTTTTAATAAACAGAATTTTTTTAATTTTACAGAAGTCCAGTTTATTAATCTTATCTTTTGACTAGTGTTCTGTATTTCCTGTTTAAGAAATCTCTGTCAATCCTAACGCCATAAAGATAATCTCCTTTGTTTTCTTCCAAGAACTGGATTGTCTTAGCTTTTACTATGTGTAAGGCCTTGGGCAAGTAACTTAACCATCTTTTCATAAACCACTAATCACAATAAAACTAACTGGCCTTTGGACCCTTTCTATTTTTTCATTGCCTCTTAGATAGCGTTAACACAGGTAGTCCCAAGATAGAACACGGGGCAGAAATTCTTAGAAACCATGCTAGAATTTGATCTAGCATGGTTTCATTCCACTTGTCTTAGGTAAAATTGTGTTCAACTTCCTAAACAAAATTAGGTAATGTTATAGTGGAGAAGAGGGAAGAGCTGTGAGTCAGAAAAGAAATTCATCGTTCGTTCATGTGTATGTATTTTTCCTTGGGCTTTTTTTATTCCTGGGGCATTAATTGACTTTTCTAGAATTTTGTTTCAGCCTTTTTTTTTTCCTTTGGATACACTGTGTTCTTTCTACCTCATAAAGCCAGAATCCTAGAGCTGGCAGGAGTCTTAGAAAGTTGCCAAGTCCTACCCACTGCCCATGGGGTCAGATATTGAAACTGTTCTTCCAATATTACTGGATCTCCTTCTTGCCCCATCTAGCCCCTCCTAGGGCACATCCAACCAAAGTGGTTTAAACTCCTTCTCTGCATTCAGAGGGATTCTCTGATTTACACTGAGAAAAACTGACAGAGACATGCAATAGCCGTTTAAATGTAAGTGTGCTGCACTGGCAGCAATGATTCTGAAAGTTTTATGTCTCAATAGAATCTTATTTTAAGTACTCCAGAGAAGCAAAGAAATTCTACCTCAGTCCTTTTGTAAAACACACAAAAAAGACCTTTTGTATAGTGCCTAGTTATCTCCTGATTTATCAGTTTCTTTGAGCAGTTTTTTAAGTACTGAGTTTTTGCATTTTACTTTATCTTAAGGTGGCTCACGTAAAGTGCTTATTCAAATGCCCTCCTCTACATGTATTATCTTTCTTAAATGATTTTTAAGTATAGCTTTTTATGGATACATAACAGTAATATAAATATTAGAGACGTCACAGTTCAATGAATTTCACAAACTGAATAAATCTGTGTCACTAAATACAAATCAAGAAACTAAAGGACATCGAAGCACTGATGGGCATATTTTTAAACCACCATAGCATCCTTATCTACATTCTAGTGAGGCCAAGACACGTCTTGGCTTTCCTGTTCCTACCTAGAACTCTAACCAGTAAATCCCTCTCTTGTCTCTGGCTTCTTTAGGGCAGTGTTTTTCTTAGGTGTTGCATAGAGTGAGCTAGGTTTGGAATGAGATAGTATAAGTTTTATTTGGAGCAAAGTCCAGAATTAATGGAACCTAGGACTGGTCTGATTTAATGGAACAGGAAGAGGGAAGGAGCTGCATCTTTGGGCACAGCTAGGGCAGCAGACTGGAACCTGGCACGGCAGTAAGACATGGCTTCCAGGGAAGCATGAAGGGGGTGGGATTGGGTCTAGAAAGAGAAAGGGGCTGATGGTGGCAATGCCACAGAAAAGAGGATGCAAAAGGACTTCATCCTTCCAGGATCAGTATCTTTAGACTCCTTTCCTGCCCACCTCCCTGATAGTCCTTGGAGAAAAGATATAAGATAAGGTCAGATGTCTGTATCTCTATCACAGCCAACTCTAACCTTGGGCAAACAGTTCAACTTTTCTAAGTCTCAGCTTCTAATGCAAAAATGGAAATGATAATAGCAATGAGCCTACCTGCTTCAAAGAGTTGTGTACAGACCAAAGGAAGCAGTTACATGCATGGAAAAGCAGTTGTCCCATTCATGAGATATGTCTCTTTGCCAGCCCTGTCCCCTTTCTCACTTTACTGTCGGGATGGCTTGGCAAGCAAGTCAGATGATAGCAGAGGAGGGTAAATTCTCCAAGCCTTGCAGTGGCTGCCTTCACTTCTAGGGCACCAGCTTTCTAATCTGAGGATTAACATTTTTCAGATGTCCCTTATGGGGAAAGGGACTCCATGAAAGTATAAATTGTAAATTGATCGTTTCATATCTCATGACCAACCACTGAGTCCACTCTGAATCTGCCTTATCCATATAGTGGCCCAGCCTGCTCTCTCACCAGCCTGCCACAATGCCTGATGCTCCCAGCACTGGAGTCCATTCCTGTCGGGGAAGAGACTCCTGCTGTTCCCAAATGCCCAGAACATCCAGCTCACCCAACAGATAAAGTTCTCATTGTTCATACATTGGTTTTCCAGTCCTTGTACCATTTGGATTCTCAGTTCCAAGCAATCAAAAATGATGTGGGTGGATTTAAGCAAAAGGGTATTTATTTAAAAGATAGTGGGGAGTCAGCAGAATAGCTGGAGAATTTACCTGATTAGAGCTTGTTGCTACCAGGAACAAGGCCTAACAATCACACTGCAGAGCTGGTCCAGGGAAGACTCCATGAAGTCGCCATAGACAGAAGCAGCAAATATTGCCACCACTGCCTCTGGAACTGTATGTATTTGTCTCCACCACCACGGCGGCCACCCATAGATAATTGGAGTTGTTGTGTTCCTCT